TGAGTTTGAGGCCAGACTGTGCTTTATAGCAAGACTGGCTCAATAAACCAAAAAGAAAAAAAGTTCTAATTTTTTAATTTTAAGGCAGGATCTCACTAATTTGCCCAGGCTGGCGTTGCACTGTCAAACCTCCTGCCTCATCTTCTTAAGTAGTACAGTTTACAGACCTAGTATCTGTGTTTTGGTTTTTGTTTTGTTTTGTTACGGGGATTGAACTCTCGACCTTGGGCTTGGCAGGCAGACAGAGCTAAATCCCCAGCCCGACCTAGTATTTGTTTTGTTTTGTTTTTTCTTTTTCCTTTTTATCGGTACCGGGGATCGAACTCATGACTGCCTCCTTTCAAGGCAGGCACTTATGCCACTGAGCTAAACCCCCAGCCCCTGACCTAGTATTTGTTAAATACTAGAATTTTTGTTAAATTTGAAAGTCCTAGGATTTCCTGTTGTCTTTTTTTTCCCCCCTGGACAGGGTCTTAAGTTTAGCCTGGCCTTGAGCTCACTTTGTTTTTTTGGGTTTTTTTTTACTGGTACTGAGAGAATCGACTCCCCGTTTGTAATGTAACCCCCCCCCCCCGAGCTATAGAACAGAGCAGTAAGGAATGTTTCACTCCCTAAATCCTCCTTGAGATATCGGGGCAGGACAGGAAGGAATGCATCTGCTAGTCATTAACCACAAGATGATCTGTCCTCTGTAAAGATAAAGATAAGTAAAGGAATGTGCTAGATTAGACCAGGACTCTCGGTCTCCATGGTTACTCAGCCCCAGATCCCTCGAATCAGCATCTGCCAAGTCCTGCGCCGTTCAAAATTAACCAATGCGATCTGCTTCTGTAAACCCGCTTGCTTCCCGCTTGTGCCCTTAAAAACCCTGCACAAATTCCCCTCGTGGCCCTCTGCACTCGTTTGCCTGGAGGACCCCATGCGCATGGAAATAAACTTTTTTCCCTCACCAAGAGTTGAGTCCTTGGGGTCTCTTTCCCTGCGGCGTCGGCCCTAACATCTTGGAGGCCCCAGCGAGATAGCACGTCTCACGGGAGGTGACCTCAACGGCTCTGTGGTGAGTGAGTACGACCGGTCGCTTCTTATTTTTACTCTGAGGATCAATCTACCGGTATTTTACGCCCCGAGCCAAACGGCTCCGATCTAGGGGCAATTTTTGTTACCAGTTTTTGTTATCTGTTATCTGTTCTCTGTTCTCTGTTCTCTGGTGACCGGGGGACGCCCCACACGGTTTTCCGTGACTCACCGTTTGCGATAGGATTTTCCTATCGGTTTGGGGAATTTCATTCCCAATCTGTGGTCCGTCCGGGCCAATTCGGAGACACCCTCTGAGGTGACTCGTTCGGGGAATTTCATTCCCAATCTGTGGTCCGTCCGGGCCAATTCGGAGACACCCTCTGAGGTGACTCGTTCGGGGAATTTCATTCCCAATCTGTGGTCCGTCCGGGCCAATTCGGAGACACCCTGTAAGGTGGCTTGTTTGGAGTGAAACTGATGCGTGAGAGTGAGGTGGCCAGCCTGTTTGTCCTGTGTGTCGTGGGTGTTGTGATTGGTTATTTGTTGTATCGCGCTTGCGTTAACCGCCCTGTGACTGTAGAACATCATGGGACAGTCGACCTCATCCCCATTGTCCCTCACCCTTGACCATTGGTCGGAGGTGCGGAAGAGGGCTCACAATCTCTCCTTGCAGGTCAAGAAGAGTAAATAGCAGGATTTCTGCTCGACTGAGTGGCCTACTTTTTCTGTGGGATGGCCACCAGAGGGGACTTTCCACCTTCCCCTCATCTTAGCAGTTAAGAACATCATCTTCCGCCCCAGATGAGAGGGCAGGTCACCTACATCTTGGTATGGCAGGACCTCAGGGAGGAGCCCCCACCGTGGGTAAAACCCTTCCTTCCTCCGCCTTCTCCTTGGTTGCCTGTTTAAACTTGTTACTAACTTAGGGGCTTGTTGCCCATTTCTGTTGTAGGATCCATATGGCTTATTAGATTCAAGATTCATGATAAGAAAAATTATTTCCTTTAGCTGACCAAACTGTACAAGAAGCTCCCTTTGTTTGTGTCTTTAATGTTGTGGCGCCTTGTTTAATATGTAAGACTTCAATTGATTGCTTGCAACCTCGGCATGCCTTTTTAAAGGAGTATTTTATTTTTTTCTCTCTGGTGAAAATGTAAACATGTGCACATATATATGTATATCTATGGTTGTTAAGAGTCATGTCAACTTTGCCAAGTAAAAACCAGGCGATACTATATTTGAGCCAGTTAAAAGGTTACAGTTTTGTTTTTAAAATACAGCATTTTTATGTGGTAAAAAGACATAAAATAAGCATTTTTTTTAGACTACTAAAAGGTGACTTCAAGGGTTTTGTTGAAAACTTTGATGTTGTCTGAGAAGTGAGAAAAAAAGGGTAATTGACTGGTAATAGTAAAAAGAGGGACAAAGAGAGTGGTCTTCAAGTAAAGGTGTCTGGCTATGCCAGAATGTAGAAAAAGATTAAAGCTTAGTTTGAGAGGTATTATTGTAAGTTGTAGAAGGCTCAAGAGGATGTAAATTTTATTTGTCTTGATTTATAGTACTACAAATAACAGGTTTGACAAGAAGTAAATGTGTTCAAAATTTGACAGTATTAGATCAGTTTTGGTAGAAGTATACATAAGATTGTACTTTGCTGCAAAATGTTTCCATTAAAATGAGATTATAGGTGATACTAGAAATAAGATACAAGTTCTTGCATGTACTGTGAACATCTGGGAGATTATGCAGCACAATTTTGTTACCTGTGAAAAAGCCCTTTTTGTTAAGAATATAATTTTAGTAAAATGATGGCCTGTCATGTGACACCCTTGGACAAAAAGCAGTGTGCCATCCAGATGAAGCTGGCTGTCTGATCCGGAATGCCAAAACCATGTTCTCCTTTTGTGCCACCCTGACTGAACATCCAGAGGTAAGAAGGTTTCCCAATATTGCCAGTTGTTCTCTTTGTAACTCAGTCGGCCCCACATGTTAGACAAAAATTACAAAGGTTTGAGAGGTTTAAGGAAATGCCCCTCAGCCAGTTAATAGAGATAGCACAAAAAGGTCTTTGAGAACTAAAAATTTACAAAAAGATAGCCAAGGTGTTAAAATTGCTCTATGAAAGAAAACTTTTAAAAACCAGACGAGAGTTTCTGGGGGCAGTTGGGTACTGTAGGCTAAATTTTACTGGAAAGCTTGCCTCTATATGACTCCCATAAGGGAGAAACCCAAAATTCGCTGAACTGGACTGATAAATGTAAACAGGCCTTCCAACAGCTCAAGCGGGCCTTGACAGAGGCCCCAGCCCTGGGACTCCCTGACGTTACCAAGCCTTTCATCTTGTTCATAGATAAACTCAGGGACATTGCCAAAAGAGTCCTAACTCAGGACATTGGCCCTTGAAAGAGGCCTATAGCCTACCTCTCCAAAAGACTTGATCCAGTAACAGAAGTATGGCCCCCTGCCTTAAAATACTAGCTACTGTGACAATGTTACTTAAGGAAGCGAAGAAACATGCTTTGGGCAAGTGATTTCTGTGGTAACTTCTCACAGTTTAGAGACTCTTATCAAAACCCCTCCTGAAAAAAAAAAAAAAAAAGGCTCTCAAACACCAGAATTCTACTGTCAAGCCCTGCTTCTAGACCCAGAGTCAATGATATTCAAGACTTCTTCAGCTTTATCCGGAGGAACAAAGGACACCTCTCTCCATGAGTGCGCTGACATCCTCGAACTGCAGCAGAACCTACAGGCTGATCTTACTGACCAGCTTTTGGGAAATGCCGACAACTGTTCGATGAAAGCAGCCTCATCCAAAACGGCAAACGAATGGCCGAGGCAGCAGTGACCACCGAAAAGGAGGTACTCTGGGTTAAGCGGGTAGAGCCTGGCACTTCTGCCCAAAAGGCGTAGCTTGTTGGTTTGACTGAGAGGCTAAAACTAGCCACGGAAAAGAGGGTAAACATTTTTTTTTCCTGAAGATATCCCTTTGCTACTGTACATATACGTGGAAGCCATCTAAAAATGCTCCACAGATTCTAGATTTGCTAGCCGCTGTCTGGCTGCCTCAATGGGTTGCTATTCCTTACAAGGCTCACCCAACCGGAGATGACACTGTCACCTTAGGAAACAGTTTGGCAGATCAAGCTACTTGAAAAATAGCAACCACATTGGAGGGGTCAACCAAGAAAGTAACTGCTCTAATACTAGTCCTCTGACCTTGTCAGAACCAGTCTACACAAAGAAAGACCTACAGTTGGCATCTCAACTTGGAATAAAGTCTCCCACCCCAAGGGGCTAATACCAGTTACCTGATATACAAGTACCGTTACTGGAGACACTAGGGCAGGAGCTGTTACCACCTCTTCGAGCTCTAGATGCCCACAGTGCTTGTTAGTCAACTCAGCCAAGAGCTCTGCGCTGGAGACCACCCGACATCAAGGAATTGTTCCAGGAGAACATTGGAAAGTAGGCTTTATGGACATGGTAAAACTTAATTTACAGGGACACCGCTATCTCTTGGTATTAATAAACATTTTTACTGGCTGGGTAGAGGCTTTCCCTACTAAGTCTGAGTCAGCCTTAGTGGTAGTTAAAAGGCTATCGCATGAGATCATACCTTGATTTGGCCTCCCACTATCAATGGGGTCCGATAATGGCCTGGCTTTCATAGCCCGAGTCACCCAAAAGTTAGCCCAGGCATTAAAGATTAATTAAAACTCCACTGTGCCTATCAGCCACATAGCTCAGGGCAAGTAGAACGTATGAACCAAAGTCTCAAGGACATTTTAGCTAAGCTGTTTTCAAAAACTGGCGATAATTGGATGAGCCTTCTTCCCTTTGCACTGTTAAGAGCTAGATATACCCCATATGTTTCTAGAATTTCCCCCTTTAAAGCCATGTTTGGGAGGCCCCCGCCATTGGTTCCAAGATTGTCAGAAGACAAATTAGCTAAAATTACTAATCGAGATCTTAAGTCCCTGCAGACACTCCAACCTGTGTTGGCCTGGATCCACCAGCTGTTTAGACAAAAACACTTGGACCCGCCTTCAGAGACCAAGGCCCCAGGGACTCCAGTCTTGGTTCGATGTCACCACCATGACTCCCTCAAATCCTGCTGGGAAGGACCTTTCACCGTGGTGCTCAGTACCCCCACTGCCATCAAGGTAGCAGGAAAAACTGCGCGGATTCACTACACTCATGTAAAGCCACGGGAAACAGCAGACAACGAGGGAGATACTCAGTGGACTACACAACAGACTGGTAACCCTTAAAGTTAAAAATTGACTAAAACATAGTTAGATTATGCTGGTCATGAACTGTTTTAGCTTGCTTGTTTTGATTTTAATAACATTGATGCCGACCTTGCATGGCGGCTTTGGTCCCCCACTGTAAGCAAAAAAAAAAAACAATTGTTAAAGATCTTTGTATGGGAGCCCCCTTTAGAAAATGTAAAACGGAATTCTCCTCTATCTCCTTCCCTTGATAAGACCATTACTGACCTTAATCCTAATCCTAGCCATTGCCCCTTGCCTTATTAACCGGATTACCCAATTCACAAGGGAACAAGTTTCTTAGGTCAAAGTAATGGTCATAGGTCAACAATATGAACCCCTAGCTACAACATACCTCTAAGATTAGAGGTCATCCACAAGAAAAAGGGGGGAATGAGAGAATCGACTCCCCGTTTGTAATGTAACCCCCCCCCCCCCCGAGCTATAGAACAGAGCAGTAAGGAATGTTTCACTCCCTAAATCCTCCTTGAGATATCGGGGCAGGACAGGAAGGAATGCATCTGCTAGTCATTAACCACAAGATGATCTGTCCTCTGTAAAGATAAAGATAAGTAAAGGAATGTGCTAGATTAGACCAGGACTCTCGGTCTCCATGGTTACTCAGCCCCAGATCCCTCGAATCAGCATCTGCCAAAGTCCTGCGCCGTTCAAAATTAACCAATGCGATCTGCTTCTGTAAACCCGCTTGCTTCCCGCTTGTGCCCTTAAAAACCCTGCACAAATTCCCCTCGTGGCCCTCCGCACTCGTTTGCCTGGAGGACCCCATGCGCATGGAAATAAACTTTTTTCCCTCACCAAGAGTTGAGTCCTTGGGGTCTCTTTGCCTGCGGCGTCGGCCCTAACAGTACCAGGAATGGAACTCATGACCACGTGCTTGCAAGGCAGGCGCTTATGCCGCTAAGCTAAATCCCCAGCCCCTTGAGCTCACTTTGTAGCCCAGAGTGGCCTCAAACTCAAAACGATCCCCCCAAGTGCTGGAATTACAGGCGTGTGGCACCATGCCCGTCTAAAAATGTTTTTTTTGTTTTATTTTGTTTTGTTTTTTGTCTTTTTGAGACAGGGTCTCGCTATGCAGTTCAGGCTGGCCTTGAACTCACTTTGTAGCCCAGGCTGGTCTTGAGCTCGCAACAATACTCCTGCCTTAGCCTCCCAAGTGCTAGGATTACAGGTGTGAGCCCTCACGCCCCGCTTAAAAATATTTTTTTTTTTCTTTTTAGCAATGTAATATTTCCAGAGTTTTGTTAAAGGGTTTCCTTTCCTAGATTCATTTAATTTCTCATAACTGAATTCTGTTCATATGGGGTTTTTTTTTTTTTTTTGGTCTTTTGCAGACAGGTGTTGCTATGCGGTTCAGGCTGGCCTTGAACTTACTTTGTAGCCCAGGCTGGTCTTGAATTTGCAATGATTCTCCTGTTTCAGCCTCTTCAGTGCTGGGATTACAGGCATATGCCACCATGCCTGGCTTGTTTTATCATTTTATAGAAGTGAGAAATGGAGATTTGTGATTTTTTTTTTTAATTTATTGCCTTCACCCTATTTTCAGTATATTTACACTCAAGGGAAGGCGTCTCCTTATTTTTAATACTAGTTTGTAGCATAAAAAGTTGTTTTAATATAGAGTGTGGTGGCATATATTTATAACCCTACTGTTTTGGAGGCCAAGGAGCACTGCAAGTTCAAATCTAAACTACGTAATGAGACCCTGTCTTGACAAGACAAAACCCAAAGGTATCGGTAAAACTGATGTGCAAAAGTGTTGATGTATGGGTCAAGGCTTTCTTGCTGTGTACATGGTGGTTTTATGTTTACTGTGTGCATAGTGAACCTAGTAAAACTAGTTTCTTTAAACAAGTATACATGTCTATGATAAAGTAGCTCAGAACCCCTTGGAGTCAGTTGTGTTGCATGCCTGTAATCTCCACTAGTGTACTTAGCATACTGGAGAGTTCAAGGCTAGCTCACCCAGTTTAATAAGACTGTCTCAAAATAAAGAGCTGGATATGGTGACTCATGTCTGTAAACCCAGCATTCTTTGAGAGGCTGAGCAAATAGAATTGACTTTTTTTTTTTTTGTACCAGGGATTGAACTCAAGACTTCTGGGGCTGGGGATTTAGCTCAGCGGCATAAGCACCTGCCTTGCAAGCAGACGGTCGTGAGTTCGATCCCTGGTACCGATAAAAATGAAAAAAGACCAAAAAAAAAAAAAGACTTCTCGCTTGCTAGGCATGTGCTTACACAGCGCTGAGCTAAATCCCTGGTTCTTGAACAAACAGAAATGAAAGATTGAGCCCACTGCATAATGAATTAGGATGATCCAGCCTCAGAATAGAAGTGGGGGTGCTGGAAACATAGCTCAGTGCAAGGTTGCAATGCTCAATTCCCAGCACTGCAAAATAAATATCACTCCTTTTCTATATCCCCACCATTGATGCATAGCTGTAAATGTGCTGTATATAAACTAAAGCACAGTGTAATCATTTAAGCTGTTTGCTTGGTTTTTAAATTGTTTTTAGCCTAGTAACATTTTTTAAAAATTTTTGAACTGAGAAAAGAAAAATGATGAAACAATTTCAAAACAAAATAACAAAATAAGAGAGTAACAGTGGTTAATATATTGCATATTATTATCTTCAAAGTGGTTGCTCAGTTTTGTTTTGTTTTTTTTAAGTAGTGTTGCTTTGTAGTCTAGGCTGGCCTTGAACTCTCACTATATAACCCAGGCTGATCTCAAACTGGCAATCCTCCTGCCTCCGCCTCCTAAGTGCAAGAACTGCAGATGTGTGCCACCACGCCCAGCTAGTTTAATACTATCCTTAGGAATATTTATGACCAAAAAAAAAGGAATATTTATTTCTGCACATGTAAATATACGTAATTGCATGGTGTTTAAAAATGTATGTTTTGTTTTTTTGGTTTCAGTTTCTGATCTTTAGTTAAATAAATCTTATGGATACTCCAAGGAACGTGCAGTAGAATCTTTCCTTGTGAACATAATGATTCCAGAAATATTTTTATAATCCAAAGCACTCGCATAGCAAAGCAAATCTCCCCATGAGAAATAATGAAAATTCAGGTGATTTCTCCCATAACACAAAAATATTTATATAAAAGTGATTATAGTACTATAATACAGGATAGCAAAATAAATACAAAATACAAAAAAATAACCTTTGTGAGACTTGCCATGGTGCCATACACATGTAATCCAACTGCTTGGGAAGATGAGGCCGGAGGATAAGTGAATTCAAGGCTAGCCTGGAGTATATGGAGAGACCCTATCTCAAAAAAAAAAAGAAAAGCCCACCAAAAGAAGCTTTCATAGCTGGTGTGAGGGAGACAACAAGAGGGTTGTTGTATAGAATGACTCTCACTATTACTAATGCACTAATGCGGTTGTGAATATCTGTTGGCTCACTGGGATCTTTTTCCTTGCATTCATTCATTCGGTCAGTCAGTCAAAACAGGGTCTTGCATGTAGTTCCTAGTGGTCTTGAACTTTCTATGTAGCCTAAGTTGGCCTCGAACTCAAACTAATCCTCCTGCCTCACCCTCCTGAGTCCTGTGATTATGTGTGTCACCAGGTCTGACTCCTGCAATTTTAGCAAAGGAATCTGTTCATGACTCCTTTTGAGGATTTTGTGGGAATACGACATTGTATTGTTGTTAAAACGATTCATCCTTTACACTGCCCTAGTCTTTATCTGGGTATAAATCTTTTATCTGGGTATAATCATTTGTTTTTCTTTTCTCTTCTCTTCTTTTATCGGTACTGGGGACCGAACTCACAACCGAGTGCTTACAAAGCAGGCGCTTATGCTGCTGAGCTAAATCCCCAGCCCTTGGGTGGTGTTCTGCAAAATTTGCTGTTTCCCACCTTTTTTTTTTTTTTTTTTTTTTTTGGTACTGGTGATCAAATTTACAACCCTGCATTTGCCAGGCATATGCTTATGCCACTGAACTAAATCCCTGGCCCAGTTTCTAAAGCATTTTACATGTCTCCCTAATCTCATTTGAAGTAAGGGAACCCTCTTCATTTTCTCCTCTATAACCTCCTTTTTTTAAAATCGTAAGTTGAACTCAGGACTTCAAATTTGCCAGGCAGGCACCATCCTGCTGAGCTATATCCCTGACCCCTTCTCCAGTAACGTCTTGTTGATGATGAGTCACCTGTTGCCCTGCATTGAAGGAGAAGGGAGGAGGGTGGGGATCATTGATTTATTTGTGATCTTGTGACATTTGATATCAATATTATGTGCTACTTATATTGCAAGACATCATTTGTTTATCAAGTTAGAATTTACTAAAGAAATTTGCTCATCTTGCAAAGCAAATAAACTTGCAATCCAAGTTTGACTGTTTAGCTTTTTTTTTTTTTTTTTTTTTTTTTTTTTCTTTTCTTTTTGTCTTTTTGAGATGAAGTCTCACTATGCAGGTCAGGTTGGCCTCAACCTCACTTTTAGCCAGACTGGTCTCAAACTTGCAACGATCCTTCTGCCTCAGCCTGAGATTACAGGAGTGTACACTACACCCAGTTTAGCTAGCTTGCTTGCTTGCTTGCTTGCTTGCTTTGCTTGCCTTCCTTCCTTCCTTCCTTCCTTCCTTCCTTCCTTCCTTCCTTCCTTCCTGTATCGGGAAGGAAGTGACCTTGGTCAAACTCATGACCTTGGTCATGCTTGCCAGGCAGGCGCTTATGCCACTGAGCCCAGCCCCAGTTTAGCTTTAATTGAAGAACAAGCTGGGCTTGGGGACCTATCATTGTTGCATTCTGCAAACCTGAGGCAGAAGGATCATAGAGTTGAGCTCGTCTCAGGCACCGTCAGTGCTTTAGCAAGGCTGTGTGTTGAAATATAAAATAAAGGGCTGGGGAAGTAGCTCACTGTTAAGGCACGAGAAAAATAATAGAATCTTGAGTTGAATGTAACTTGTGTGTGTTTTTAAAAATTTTTAAATCTGAAAATTTATACCTTTAAAGAACTCAGTAATCTAAAATTTGTCTTTTTTTTTTTTTTTTGTCTTTTTTTTTTTTTTTTGGTCTTTATCAGTACCAGGGATCGAACTCACGACTGCCTGCTTACAAGGCAGGCGTTTATGCCACTGAGCTAAATCCCCAGCCCCTTGTCTTTTTTTTTTTTAACCCTAGTTGGAAATGGAGGATGAAGATACAATTGATGTGTTCCAGCAGCAGACAGGAGGTGTCTACTAAAAAGGGAACCTGCAACAACTCTACTCCAGAACTCTGTTCTTACAGACCAAGAATACATTCTCAGTTAGAAAACTGCAATTTGGTTCCACCACATCCTGACTACTACAGTATAGTTTTCTCTATTCTTTCATTTATCCCTTCCCCATTCCTTTATTGTACATAAAGTATCTGGTGTATGTGCACAAGCATATTGCATTTTTTTTTTTTACTAAATGGCCAACAATATGTTTTGATTGACATCAAATGGAGATGGGATGGGGAATTACTGGTTCTGTGAAAAATAATCCCCTTTCTCCATTAGTGGCATGCTCATCAGCTCTTATCTTTATATTCCAGTAAGTTATTTTGCTCTCACTGTTTTAACGGAAAAGACAACATAAAAATCCTTGCATACCTTGTTTGATTGGAGAATTTTAATGTTTTTCATTTATCATTGTAAAACCAAGGAGAATTTTATAACTTTTTTTGTACGTAGCTGTTACATGTAGGGCAGTCTGTCTTTACGTAGGAGTAAATTACTCTCAAAAAAAAAAAAGAATCCTAGATAGTCTTCCCTTAAAGTCAAGTGTCTTGTTGTTTAAATAAACTTCTTGT